TTGTGTTGTTTAAAATAACGCTCATCATGGGGCCCCTGGGTGGCCCAGTCCGTTGAGTGTCTGACTCTTGGTTTTGGCTCAGGTCAGGATCTCAGGGTCCCAGGATCAAACCCCTCGTGGGGGTTCTGCACTCAGCACGGAGACTGCTTGTCCTTCTCCCTCTCCTTGTGCTCCTCCCCACTATCTAAAATAAATAAATAAATAAAATTAAAAAAAATAACACTCGTCATATGACTCTTGATCTTGGGGTTCTGAGTTCCAGCCCCACGTTGGATGTAGAGATTACTTAAAATTAAAATCTCAAAAAATAAAATAACGTTCATGGTCCAAAACAATTCCAGGGGAGGGTGGAGCCGAAGCCTCAGGGCTCTAAGCTAAGGCCCCCCCAACTTGAGCCTGGAGAGGGAAGTACTTGAAGGCCCAGTTGTTCTTCCTGAGGAAGCCTCCCCCTGCAGGTGTCCTACCTGTTCACACCCACCTGAGAAGGAACCCTTTATAGGGAGAAGCTACCGAGCCCCGGGCGGCTGGGGATGCACCTGTAGGGGTGGGGTGGGGGTGGGAGGACACCTATGCCTTTTCTGAAGTTGCCGCTGAGGTTCCCTTAAGCCTCATAATTCCCATGGGTTAGAATAGGGGAACTCGGGGTGTAAATTGTTTACACGGAAAAGTCTGAAAGTTCTGTGTTCCGGATTAGGGTCAGTGACGGGGGAGGTTATTTGGGGCAGAAGCTTGAACTAAATCCTTTTTTTTTTTTTAAGATATTTATTTGTTTGTTTGTTTGTCAGAGAGAGCACGAGGAGGGGAAGCAGCTCGCGGAGGCAGAGGGAGAAGCAGGCTCCCCTCCAAGCAAGGAGGGAGGGAGCGGTTCCCTTATGCCCCGGGGAGGGGACGGTGTGCGGGGCTCCCAGGGTTCATTCCCGTGGCTACTCAGGTGCCCCTACCCTCCCTCACCAGGGACTGACCCACTCCAGGGCATCTGCCCCCATCAGGAGAGTCTAGAATGTGGAACCTTCTGAATGTGGCTTTCCTTCTGTCCTAGGGGAAGCACGCTGCTGATTTGTGCTGAGTCCAGTGTTTGTTTCCTGGATTTCTTTCCTTTTTTTTTTTTTTTTTTTAAGATTTTATTTGTCAGAGAGAGAGAAAAAAAAAGAGAACAAGCAGGTGGAGCAGAAGGCAGAGGGGGAAGCAGAGTCCCGGTTGAGCAAGAAGCCTGATTCGGGGCTTGATCCCAGGACCCTGGGATCATGACCTGAGCCGAAGGCAGACGCTTAACCGACTGAGCCTCTCAGGCTTCCCTCCTGGCTTCCTTTCCTAACAGTGCAGCCCTTTGGCTCTGGTTTCCCTCCCTCAGCACTTGGGCTGCTAAACTATAAGTTGATTGAGAGATAGGGTATGGGGAAAGCTAGAAAATTAGGGAAACCAAATAGAATTTGCGTTCCATTTAAGCAAGAGAACCTCAAGATGGGAGATCAATGTATTTAAGTTCTCAGGTACATACTGCATTTTGGGATCAGTTTTTGTTCGTATGTGTCTCTAAAGAATACTGACACTGACTCCTGTTTGGGTTTCTTTTTATAAAATCAAGCAATTGTGAATGCAGGTTTTTTCTTCCCCACGTTATTCCTCGTAATCAGCAGTCAGGCTTTGTATTTTTGGGTGTTTGAGTGCTGACAGCTTACGCCTCACCCCACCGTCTGTGCCACACTCCCCGTTCCTGCCCCCTGTGCTCCCAGCTAGAGGAGCTGGTCTCCTCTCCCACCCCCAACACACAGTGAACACCCAGCCAGCTCTCCTTCCTTGCTTTCTTTCTTTCTATTTTATTTTATTTATTTGAGAGAGAGCACAAGTGGGGAGGATAGGGAGAAGCAGGCTCCCCACCAAGCAGGGAGTCCGATGCAGGGCTCCATCCCAGGACCCTGAGATCATGATCTGAGTCGAAGGCAGAGGCTTAACCGACTGAGCCACCCAGGTGCCCCTCCTTCCTTGCTTACTTTCTGAAGCCATTTCCGAGGTGCTTGAGAGGCTTGCCTACCTTCCCCGATACTTCTGTGAGTCCTAAGCCTCTTGCTACCCTCTGAGCGTGTGTGATGGGGTGGGGTGTTCACTGTCATCGATCTCAACACTTGAAAGACTCCTGTGCAGGTGACCATAATTACTGGCACCGTGAGCCACGTCCAGACGTGACTGCTATGCTGTGGGTCTGCTTCTCTTGCTCTGACTTGCTCAGCTGCTCTGATGCTTGATGGCGGCATGTTCCGCGGGCGCTCGGGGCTGGGGAGCTCGTGCTGTGACCTGTACTGCCCCGTGTCGCATGTGTGACCCTCCCAAGCCTCAGTTCTGTGTTCGGCCGGCCAGAGTCGGCAGTTTACAGAAGCCCTAGGCATGTGGGAGCAGGAGTGTTAGATCGAGGCCCTCCTTCAGGTGGTCCCCGGCTGATGTGTTTGCTGGTTTCTCTCTGTGTTAGGGTGACGCTGTGACAGAGGGTGGGGTGGCAGAGAGGACTCTATCCTGTGCAAGAGGGGGGCCCACTGGGTGGTCACTCCTGAGATAGTCATTTACGTAGAGAAAGAGAAGGTCAAAGGCAGCCAGCAGATGGCAGGCTGGGTCCACACTCCTGCTCTCGGGAAGCTCGTCAGGACCCTCAGTCCCTCTGAGGCCACGGCCTCTGCTGCAGCAAAGATCCGGAGCCTGAGCTCCAGGGGGCGACACTCATGGTCTCCACCGCCACCCCCCCCCCGCCCCCTGGGGAACAGCAAAGGGATTAGTTCAAAGCTGACATAAGCCCATGGTCCGTAAACCCAGTAAAGCCACTGGTTGTCATGGGAGAGGCTCCTAACCCTGATGCAGTGGTTTGAGGAGGAAAAATGTATAAATACCAGGGTAGAGAGGACACCTGCTCCCCTGAAGTATAGACAAAGAAAACAAAACAGGGACGGTCAAGGGTAAGGAACTAATAGATAAAATACGGAAACGAAAGACCACAATTTGACCAAACTGTAAATCCGGCAGATAAAAGTACACTGCTTGGCTTTTAGCCTCTACAACATAAATTCTGGATTAATTTTGCTACCTGGCATAATGCACTAATTCAGAAACCTTCAGTTAATCAATACTAGGTCTTGGGGCGCCTGGGTGGCTCAGTCGTTAAGCGTCTGCCTTCGGCTCAGGTCATGATCCCAGGGTCCTGGGATCGAGCCCCGCATCAGGCTCCCTGCCCGGCGGGAAGCCTGCTTCTCCCTCTCCCACTCCCCCTGCTTGTGTTCCCTCTCTCGCTGTCTCTCTCTGTCAAATAAATAAATAAAATCTTAAAAAAAAAAAAAAAAGTCCAACTCTTGAGATCCAGCCTGTGTCTGGCTCTGTGATGAGCCTGGAGGCTACTTAATATTCTCTGTCCCTCCCCCCAGATAAAATTAAAATACTAGGTCTTAAATTACAGGTATAGCTGGGATCCCGCTCCATTTAAGCAGGGTAGCCTGGATGATCTCAGGGCTGTTGCTGACTAGTATATAGGGGACAAATAGAGCAGTTTCTCCTTGACCATCAGAAGTATGGTCCTCTGTAAACCCCCATGGTCACAGCACCCATTGTCCTAAAATATCCGATAGTGAGCTGGGAAGCTCTGAACAAATGATTCATAAACTAAAATTAAGGTAAGCCATTGCCACTTACAAATAATCTTGAAAAAGATGGGACCCCATGAACCTTATCCTTCAAATAAAGCAACTAATCTGGCCCAGTGGAAATTGCACAGGCCCTTGAAGGATTGAAACCATATACAAAGCCTATTGAGTGAAGGGTTAATTATTCCCCATGCCTCTCCTCTGAACAGCTGAATTTTGCCTGTTAAATCTGGAACGAACAGGGACGCCCGGGTGGCTCAGTTGGTTAAGCGTCTCAGGTCATGATCCCGGGGTCCTGGGATCAAGCCCCGCGTCGGGCTCCCTGCTCAGTGGGGAGCCTGCTTCTCCCTCTCCCACTGCTGCTCCTCTTCCTTGTGCTCTGTCAAATAAATAAATAAAATCTCTTAAAAAAATAAAATCTGGTACAACTCCACGAAGAGGCTTTGGAGAGAACCAAGCTGGGTCTGTAAGTGATCTCACACGAGATGGCCCACGTATTTATGCGAAGGTCACGTGCTTGTATCCTATCACTCTGTAAACATCCTTACCACCTGAACAGTAGACATGTTTTATTGGGGAAATGATTCTTCTCTGTTACTATGCTTCTGCACCAGTAGGTTGGTTTAGTAATAAATAAATATGTGAGGCCTTTTGTTTGAAAAAAAACTATATCGGTTACATCTAAGTTTAAAAAATAAAATAGAACATTTTGGGGGGGGGAATGCCTGAACTTTTATGAAGGTGATAATATTGACTTAGAATGTATGAATGCTGGGGCGCCTGGGTGTCAGTCATTAAGCATCTGCCTTCGGCTCAGGTCATGATCCCAGGGTCCTGGGATCGAGCCCCGCATCGGGCTCCCTGCTCTGCGGGAAACCTACTTCTCTCCCTCTCCCACTCCCCCTGCTTGTGTTCCTTCTCTTGCTGTGTCTCGCTCTGTCAAATAAATAAATAAAATCTTTAAAAAAACAAAAAAGAATGTATGAACCCTACAAGCTGACATGAACATTCATAATTACAATATGACATGTTAACATGTCCCCAGAGGAAATAAGAAACATATTTCTTAGCATAGGAAGACATGGAAAACAGATAATATTTCCAAGGAAAAAATATAGAAATATTCATTAGGGGAAAACATGCACATACTTTTAATCACACAGACTCCAACTTAATTGAGCACATACTGAGGGATGACACTCAGCTATGAAACACCCAGAATCTGCCCGTTATGAGGAAGGTGTCACTTGTCACAGGGAAGGACTGGGTCACACAGCAGTCACTGCACAGTGCAGTAGGAGAAGGAACTCCCACACAGTTCTTGTGGACTGCACCAGGGAGCTGTCATGGCAGAGAGAGGAACACAAGTCACTAGTGGTATTAAGAGAACAAGGTGTTTACTATACAAATTAGAGCTTATATAAATATGACCTAGAGAAGAGGGGAGCAGCGCTTCAGAGAACATTCTCAACCACGACTGTATAAATCTGTTTCCTGGTGGACACATGACGGCTTGCAGGAAATCCAAACTGTGCTGGGTCTTCAAAGTTGAACTGTGGTGGGGGCTTTACTACAATTTTTACATTGATGGGGTTTCTCTCCAGTGTGAGTTTTTTCATGTTTGTGATGCCCTGGGAGAAATGAATGTTTTTTTTTTTTTTTTTAAGATTATTTATTTATTTATTTGAGAGAGAGAATGAGATAGAGAGAGAGAGCATGAGAGGGGGGAGGGTCAGAGGGAGAAGCAGACTCCCCACTGAGCAGGGAGCCCGATGTGGGACTTGATCCCGGGACTCCAGGATCATGACCTGAGCCGAAGGCAGTCACCGAACCAACTGAGCCACCCAGGTGCCCAAGCAAATGCTTTCTTACACGCCTTACCTTTATAAGGTCCATCTCCAGTGTGGATTACCACGTGTGACTGAACACCTGAAGGATAAGTGAAGGCTTTCCCACATTCATAGAGTTTCCATTCACAGAGTTTCATTTCAGTGTGAGTTCTTTCATGTTTTTGAACATCATAGTGACTGCTGAAGGCCTCACCACATAGTTTACACTCACAGGTTTCTCCCCGCTATGACTTCTTTCATGTTTTCCAAGGAAACTGGGATAACAGAAAGCTTTACCACATTCCTACATTCACGAGGTTTCTTCCCATTATGTATTCTTTTATGTTTTTCAAGGCATCTGGGAGAAAGGAAGGCTTTACCACATTCCTTATATTCATAGGGCACTGTGTGCCCCGTTCATGTCTTTGGTTTTTGTTGTTTTGTTTTTAAAGACTTTTTATTTATTCATTTATTTGAGAGAGAGAGAGAGAGAAAGAAAGCATGTGCAAGCAGGGCTGGGGGAGAGGTGGAGGGAGAGAGACAGAGAATCTGAAGCACACTCCGCCCTCAGTGCAGAGCTCGATGTGGGGCTTGACCTCATGACTGCGAGATCATGACCTGAGCCAAAACTAAGAATGGTCGTTTAACTGACTGAGCTACCCAGGCACCCCCGGTTCATGTCTTTGAAAGGATCTGGGACACCTGACGGCTTTCTCACACTCCTTATATTTATAAAATCCATCTTCATTTTGCTTGATCATGTATCTTTGAAATTTGGTGAAAGAATGTAAGGCTTTCCCATTTTCCTTACATTCATAGGGTTTCTCCCCATTATGACTTCTCTCATGTTTACGTAAATTACTTGAATAACTGAAGGTTTTACCACATTTTATACATTCCTTAGGCTTTTGGCACTGTGTATCCTTTCGTGTATTCGAAAGGACCTGAGACAACTGAAAGCTTTACCACATTGCTTACATTCATAGGGCCTCTGTCCAGTGTGTGTCCTTTCATGCATTCGAATGGATTGGCGATGCTTGAAGGATTTCCCACATTCCTTACATTTATAAGGCTTCTCTTCACATTCCTGATACTCATATGGTTTGTGGCCAATGTGAGATCTCATGTGCTTGTTAAAGGATGAATGATACATAAAGACTTGTCCACACAAAGTGCATTTACATAGTTTTATTCCAGTAGGACTTTTCTTCTTCTGATTATGATATGGAATCTGGCTGAAGGTTTTTCCACATTGACAACCTTGTTTTCTTTTACAGAGTCTTTCTACTGTATGTCTGCTGGGAAAAATGAGAAGCATATTATTATTAGCTTATTTATTAATAATTTTATATTAATAATTGTAAAAATGACTTTTTAAACTATTTTCAAGGAAAGTATTGGTTTCCTATCATTTCTGATTGAGAGTGAATATACAGCAGTTCCCTCCCCTCATCTGCAATTTCACTTTCTATGGCTTCAGTTTTCTGTGGCCAACCACAGTCCAGAAGCAGATGATCCTTCTGATACGTGGTCAGAGGATCAACAGTAACCTGATGCTATATAACAATGCCTAAGTCATTCACCTCACTTCTCATTGTGTAGGCATTTTATCATCACATCATCATAAGATGGTGAGTGCAGTACAAGTTTTAAAAGATTTTATTTATTTATTTATTTATTTGAGAAAGAGGGAGAGGAGAGAGTACGCAAGCTGTGGGGGGACGGGGAGCAGAGGAGGAGAGAGAGGGAGAGGGAAAGAATCTTAAGCAGACTCCATGCTCAGCACGGAGCCCAATGCAGGGTTCCATCTCACATCCCTGAGATCATGATCTGAGCAGAAATCAAGAGTCGGATGCTTAACTGACTGACCCACCCAGGTGCCCCTAGGTCATATTTGATAAAAATTTTGATGAAAATATTCTCAGAATCTACAAATTTGAAGCTGGGCTGATTTGCTTTACTTGCTTTTTTAAAAATTTCATGACATCTCTAGATTCGCTCCTGGGACCTTGCTTTCTCACGTGAGTGGGACTCACCTCAGATTCGTCCCGGAATTTTCATCCTGATCTTCATTGTCATGGTCTTCCCATTTTTCTTCTAAAATGCACAGTAGCGGGTGCCTGGTTCAGTCGGTTGGGCATCTGCTTTTGGCTCAGGTCATGGTCCCGGGGTCCTGGGGGTCCCTGGGGTCCCATGAGTCCCTGAGTCCTGTATCAGGCTCCCTGCTCAGCATGGAGTCTGCTTGTCCCTCTCCCTCTGCCCCTCCCCCTCCTTGTTCTCTCTCTCAAATAGATAAAAATCTTTAAAAAAAATAAAATACACAGTAGCTTTCTGCAGTACAAATTATAAACATTTATTTATTTATTTATTTTTAGAGAGGGATGGGGGGGCAGAGGGTGAGGAAGAGAATCTTTTTTTTTTTAGATTTTTATTTATTTATTTGACAGAGAGAGACACAGTGAGAGAGGGAACATAAGCAGGGGGAATGGGAGAGGGAGAAGCAGGCTTCCCACTGAGCAGGAGCCCAATGCGGGGCTCGATCCCAGGACCCTGGGATCATGACCTGAGCCGAAGGCAGATGCTTAACAACTGAGCCACCCAGGTGCCCCAGGGAGAGAGAGAATCTTTTTTTTTTTTTAAGATTTTATTTATTTATTTGATAGAGAGAGACACAGAGAGAGAGCGAACACAAGCAGGGGGAGTGGGAGGGGGAGAAGCAGGCTCCCTGCTGAACAGGAAGCCCAATGTGTAGCTTGATCCCAGGACCCTGGGCCACCCAGGACCCTGAGCCACCCAGGTGCCCCAGGAAGAGAGAGAATCTCCACGCCCAGCACAGAGCCCGATGTGGGTATCGATCTAACAACCCTGAGATCATGACCTGAGCCGAAATCTCATATAAATTATAGTAAATATAATTATTAAGTATATTTATATATTAAATATATAATAATTACTAAATTATAATTTAATAAATTATAAAATTTTATTAAAAATTGTTAGATTCTAGGTCCATGAATATGGACCTATGACCATGCCTTGTTTATTCACGAACATATTCCCTTTCCACATTTCACCTCTCGAAACAGCCCTGATGAGCAAGTCACACTGGTTCTCTAATGGACTCGTAAGTAAGAATGTTGTCACACTCACCTATTGAGGCCAGGTTCCTGAGGGTTTCCTGCATCACATCTCTGTAGAGTTTCTTCTGGGATGGATTCAGAAGAGCCCACTCCTCCAGGGTGAAGTTCACAGTCACATCCTCAAAGGCCACTGAGTCCTGAAACATCCCAGGCATGTGTACAGGAGGATGGGTGAGACAGCACTGGCGATCTCTACTCAATTCGTAAGAAATTCACATAGGACTTCGATTTCTCAACATCTATTCTATGACTGGGTCATCAGACTCTTCCTCTCTGGTCACACCCATTTCCTCATGAATTTAACAGCATCATGAACAAGTGGGATTTACCGCTACATTTTTATTGTGATCACTTCAACTCTTCATCAGTCTCTACTGTCAGGTACAGAACAACTTGGAGAAATTATGTTCAAATAAAATTAATATTTCCATTTTATTTTTTAAAAATTTTATTATTTTTTAAGATTTTATTTATTTGTCAGAGAGAGAGAGAGCGCACAAGCAGGGGGGAGGGGCAGAGGGAGAAGCAGGTTTCCCGCTGAGCAGGGAGCCCAATGCAGGGCTGGATCCCAGGGTCCTGGGATCATGACCTGAGCTGAAGGCAGATGCTTAACTGACTGAGCCACCCAGGCGTCCCAATATTTCCATTTTAAGTACATCAAAACCTTGAAAGACAAAGTCTTCCATCTCCTCCTTTAATACCACCATATCATAAAGCACTTCATGAAGCACAGCACCATATATGATTGAAGTGTTTTTTTGTTTTTGTTTTTTTTTACGTCTTTGAAGACTTAGATATCTTTTTTTTTTAAGATTTTATTTATTTATTTGACAGAGAGACACAGCGAGAGAGGGAACACAAGCAGGGGGAGTGGGAGAGGGAGAAGCAGGGCTCCCCTGGAACAGGGAGCGCGATGCAGGGCTCAATCCCAGGAGCCGAAGGCAGACACTTAATGGCTGAGCCACCCAGGTGCCCCTGAAGTGTGTTGTTTTTTTTTTTTTAAGATTACATTTATTTCTTTGAGAGAGAGCAAGATAGAGCACGAGTGGGGGAGGGGCAGAGGGAGAAGCAGACTCCCCACTGAGCAGGGAGCCTGATGCGGGACTTGATCCCAGGACCCTGGGATCATGACCGGAGCCAAAGGCAGACGCTTAACCCACTGAGCCATCCAGGTGCCCCTGATTGACGTTTTAATGAATAAAAACACAATGAAGAGCTGGAAGCTTGTTCTTCTAGTCCCATCCCCAAATAGGAGAGGCCGAGAGGCCTGTGGAAATGCAACTTGTAACAAAGTCCAGCTGGCCAGATTGTCTGCAGTCCTCCAGGCCATTAGAAGTGGTCAGACCCAGGGACACCGGGGTGGCTCAGTTGGTTAAGCCGCTGCCTTCAGCTCAGGTCATGATCTCAGGGTCCTGGGATCAAGCTCCGTGTCGGGCTCCCAGCTCAGGGCGTGGGGGGAGCCTGCTTCTCCCTCTGACTCTGCTGCTCCCCCTGCTTGTGCTCTCTCTCTCTCTGACAAATAAATAAAATCTTAAAAAAAAAAAAAGTAGTCAGATCCAGCTGGCTAAATGAACATATTCCTGTGGAGGAGTATAATTATAATTTGTTCATATAATACTTATCATGCTCAGTTTTACCTTTTTTTTCTGTCTCATTTCATGGGGCCAGGGAGTTATTCAGAGTTAGAGCTCAGGCATGAGGAAGAACACATAACAACTTAGACATCCACAACATCCCTATACTCGTGAGCCTCAGGGTATATTAGGATAAGATCACAGAGAAGTTCCTTCCAGCCTCGGGGTATATTAGGATAAGATCACAGAGAAGTTCTTTCCAGCAGATTCGTAACACTGCAACCTGGGCCTTGATGACCTTGCAGAACAGGTCAAGACTTGGAATTTGCAAGGGCACTCATTGAAATCCACAATCCTTTGATGGTGAATTTGCACATGATCACAACACACGTAAAGACTTGAACAGAGCTTTTCTTCAAAACATGTAAAATCCCCTTGCTCTAATTTCAGCAGCAAAGGATGCCCGACCACCACTCTAGAGGCTGTCCTCCCAACCTCTCTCATTTGAGAGCTCCCAGGTCGAGTGGAGCAGCCATCCCGGGGAATAGGAATCCCCCAGCAGCATAATTCCCCTAAATGCTGGTCCTAGCAAGAGATCAACAGCTCACAAATGTTCTGTGCCAGGGAACAGAGACAAGGCTCCCACCCAGCAATTCTGAGGCTAGAACTGATGTATTCAGTGGAACAACAGCAAAATAGTAATGCCTCTTTTGTTGTGAGTTCAGAGAGTAAAG